GATTAGTGGAGAAACATTTATCATCATTCATTAGTCCCCATAGATGTTACAATACGCCTTAAAAATGGAAAAAAGTGTTTTCTGCGATTTTCTAATTTCAGATATGCTCTGAAAGCAAATAAGAGCCTAGCATCACAATAAATAGACCTTTCAAAAAACAATACGACATTTTTTTGGTGAAAATTACTCTTTTTCGAATGCTCCTACAAGTGAACTTCGTCCGATGTTAGATTAACTTTCTCGATTTGAATTTTTGTTCATTTTTTGCAAAGAAGTATAAGAATTTGAGCGCAACAAATTCGTGTCTTAATTGAGTGCTTTTGAGAAGTCAATAATCAGCAATTTAAAACGATATAGGCAACCTCATCATGTATGGAGATCACAAAACGAGCTGGAATGGAATACTCAGTGCATAACCATTCCATGCAGACCAAGAGCAAATGCAAAAAGTCAACGGCAGACGACTGTACTAGCTGGAAACAAGGTACGCAGACCAATAAGGAAATTAGCAGAACTGTGAAATTGTTCTCTTCTTACCCAGTTCATGACAGATCGTTTATATTTTGCAGCAAACTGATCCCTGTCGGGAGTACCTTCTGGAAGGGCTGAAAGTGCATCAGACAGACGACAGTCTAAGACTGGTGTTCGCAATATGTCACGATGTGTTTGCATCTCCAAGAAGTTAAAGGTTGCAGACTCACTAAATGAAATGTTGAATTTTGACTATGCACCGAAGTATTGAAATAACGATTTAGGGATAATTACTCACTAGCCACCACTAAAAAGACGAACATCATTAGCATAGTCTTCATAAAGAGATATAATTATCGCCTCCTCGGATAGATTTGGATCCTTGGCCAGCACTTTTGAGAGTATCCACTGTTCAAATTTAGTGGTCAAGGATCTTAAACGAGTGTAATGCCTTAACAACATGTCGGAATTGAGGCAACATGTTTAGCGTACTTAAGCTTATTATCGTACGCAGGAATGTAAAAATTGCCATCAACGGTGAGGTAATCGGGCGAATGCTTTTCTTCCGTAATGAATGTCTTTAGCAAAGGTTGCGCTTCGCGCTTTAGCATTTTCCACCTGAATGAACGCTGGTTTCAGCTCTGTTATTTCAGTGAACAAAGTAAGAACGGTTAACAATCAGATAAAAAAATATCAGTAAGAAAATAGTTCCAGCTTGTTCGAAACCACACATAGAAAAAATCTGCATCAAATCTTTTGGGAAGTAAGCATAGAACAAATTAATTTTTCACTCACCTACTCTCTGTGCCCTTAGTCATTCTAAAGAGATCTTTAGCGGTTTTAGCTGCTCGATTGCTTTCCATTCCTGCTTGTGCAAGAGTTTTGCTGGCATGTGCTTCACCAGCACCATACATACGAGCATAATTTAATGC